CTCGGGGCCGCGGCGTAGACCGGGGCCGCGGACGGTGGAGGTAGGGCCTGGGCCTTGTGTCCCCCTCTGTCCCCTTCTTCCTCTTCCGCCCACGACCTCTTCGCCCCGGCACCAATCTTTGATCGCCGGTTCGCTGAGAAGCATTGAGCCCGGTGATCAGCTCCTCCTGGCCTAGCCCCTGTTCCGTCCTCCTCTAGCAGGCGCCTCGGTATCCGGGGTCGCCGGATCGGTTTTCATCTGAATGAAGTCCAGCTCCCAGGGCAAGACTGCACCAGGTGGCAGAGACCACCTAACTCCATCAGCTACAGACCAAGTTTCCTGTCACATTGCTGTATTTCTAGCAGTCATGTAGTAACATGGTGCTTGGGCAAACATTTTGTAAACTTCATAATAGGATCACGTAGCAAAAAAGACGTGAGGTGTTCCAGGGGTGATGACTCAGGCCTGAAACGCTAGCACTATGGGAGGCTGAAGCAGGAGGATGGCAAGTTGGAGCCCAACCTGGCCAATTTAACAAGGTCCTTTGTCATATATTTTTTTAAAGGACTGGGAATGCAGCTCATTATGAAGGCCCTGGCTTCAATTCCCAATTCGAGGGTGGTGGTGGGGGAATCTAGATGCCAGGCTGTGTTCTAAGTGCTTTATAGGAAGGTTTTCCCCCATCTTCTTTCAAAACACTTGTCTGAAGTGTTATGGTTTGAAATAAAATATAGGCTGGGTAAAGCAGTTTTTTAAAGTCTAGCGCATAATTTAAGCTGTTCTTTTTCCATACTATACCTTTTCAAGTTTGGAAGAAAAAAATGATAGCCTTTGCTTCTAACAAAACTTGTCTTTATTTTATACATCTCTTCCTGTGTTCCAGGCACTGTTCTAAACTAACTTTTTGTTTCATCTCATTCAATTTTCCTGCCCCTTAGATAAAGGCACTGAGGCAGAAAAATTAAATTACTTATCGAGGATCTGACAGCTAGAAAATGGCAAAGCCGGAAGCCAACATCTTGTTGTATTTTCTCAAATGTGTGGTATCCCAGATCGCTGATTTCCATGAGTAAAGAAAACCAGAATCCCTGCCTTCTAGTTTGTACTGACTTGATACATAACGTTAGCAAAAGGAAGCAGCTAAATGGACTATCGTGTTCGACTATGTCAGTTATCTCTTTAGATGCAAGGATGAATTAGATGTTAAAATTCTACTCTTATTACCAGGATTTTGTATTTTCCTGCCTCACCTCTTTTTGTCCTCAGTTACTCATGACCATTTTGCCCGCCTAGATTTGACCATTCTGGCCTCTCTCCTCTTCCGCCCTCTGGTGGAGAAGTTAGTTAATAAAGGAAAAGTGCCAGAGACTCCATGGAGATTTGGTCACGGAACAGTTCAGCAAAAAAATCCTGTCTATTCCTATGTCTATTGATGTTTTTTGTTGTTGTTGTTGTTGTTTTGTTTTGGTACTGGGGATTGAACTCAGGACCTTGAGCTGGAGACGCAGATGTGGTGCCACTGAGCTAAATCCCCAGCCCTGTTCATGTTTCTGTGAGAAGGATTAAAAGCAAAACTTGACCAAGTGTGTTGGGGGAAACATTAAGCAGGGAGGACTCCCAGGTGATGGCTGGAAAGTGTATTTTTTAAATCTCATATTTTATATCTTGGAGTTTTAGACTTTAAAAAGCATTCATTCTACAATCAGAAAAAGAGGTGCATACTTGTAAGAGAAATTTCAAGGATTATTTGGATGTTTTGAAAGCAGAGCACCTCTAGACATCAGGTTGTGGAAGATGTTGGAATGAATTTTATTCTGTAGATACTAGTTTTTATGCCTAGAGCAGTAGGTGATGTGTAAAGTCTGTCTTAATGGTCTTGATGGTCTAAAAACCTTAACTTGGTGGGTTGTGCTACTGAGGACAAATAAATTGGGAAAGACTCAGGAAGGAGTCAGGCAGATTTAGCCAGGCCTGGCAGGTGCCTAAACTAATTAGTAAATTCCTATATAAAGTAGAGAGCAGAGAAAATGGAAAGCGTTTTGGTTTTGGTTTTGTTGTTGTGTTTGTGTTTTTTTTGTTTAGTCATCTGGTGACTTAGGGAAGAAAACATCTCATACCAAAACTCCAATGGGTCTAGCTCTTGGATTTTTTCTTTTGTCTGTTGTCGCTGGTTTTTAACCACAGGTATGACATTAGGATCAGAAAAAAAATGCAAGTTCTGAGGGGTGGACACAAGCACCCTCTCGGCTAGGTGATGAGACGTCAGGGACACTGCCAGTCCCCTCTCCTACCCTTCCCCTCATGCCATAGGATTAGAAGAGTTAAGAGGATGGTTTCTTTTCCAAGCATTCTCTGTTCTCAGAGTGCGTACACATCCATAGTAATCATATCATACACTGTACTTGTAAGTAGTGCCTTAGCTTACTAGCACAGATCCAGCTTGGGGCAGTTAAATGTTCAATCTTGGGAAACATCTATTTCTATCAAATGTAGCCTAAAGGAAAGTACTCAGGTTGTAACTCACATTATGAAATTATTTCCGATGCCTTATTAAAATTCTTAGCTAAGGATATTATGGATCATCTTTAAGTGAACTGTGAACAATAAAAACGTTGCCGAATGAAGAGTTTAATTTGCATATAATAGGTTAAGGACTTGTTGATTGTATATGCAGTACAGTAATTTAAAGATTACAGATTTTAAAGTTGTAAAATTCTCATTGAAGCCGTTTCCGCTGACTTCAGCAATATTTTTATCTCCTTTCATGTTAGAGTGAATTTTAACAATTCTTTGTAAGAATGATATCTTGGCCTAGAAAAAGTAAACATTTTACTTTTGTTTTCTGTAACTTAGGTTCAAAAAAATGGCCAAAAGAATTGCCGAAAAGGAACTGACAGATAGGAATTGGGATCAAGAAGATGAAGCTGAAGAGGTAAAGAGCAGTTTCTCTGAGAATGATTTCTTATTGCTTCCACATTTAGCTTCCTCTTGGGTTCCTCAGTCATGAATAAAGGGTGAATTACGGGGCTTAGTCATGAGTAATACAGTGCCAGCCTCCATCCTAAACATCAGTCTGCCACACCCACAGTTTTAGGCTTCAGAAGATTGCTATCACCACCCTTAAAGCTTTTCTAGTTCCTATGCTAATGGTGTGTCTGAGACCCCAGCAACTGCCTTCATAGTTACACAATTTTTATTTTGTAAAAAATAATCTTGCTCGAAGGAATTATAACCATTTCTCCCTTGAAAGAATAGAGCACAACTGCATTTCTAGTGCCGTATCAGCAAGTTGATATGCCTAAGCCAGTCCCTTGAGGAAGCCTGTGGCCAGTTAGTCCTTCAAGTTCATAGCATAATGCTAGGTTAAAAAAAAATGTAAAGAATCTGCAGAAGTGTTTTCAAGCCTATGAGACTGGTGTCCTCTTTTTTTTTTTGTACAGGGGATCTAACTGGGGCCTTTGCACTTGCAAGGCAAGCATCAGAACCACTGAGCCAAATCCCCAGCCGAATCTTTCTTTCTGATATTAATATTTTTCCTTTTACAAGTATATGTACTGTAGAGAAAACAAAATCACAAATGTGTTCATGTTTCCATAGGGCCTTTAACTGACCTGGTGGCTTGTTTTGACTCTTTGATCATGGATGTTTTGGAGTGAGGAAGGGGTGGTTTCATTCTGGGCTACAGTAAGTTACAATCTACCACATAGTGAGTCTCTTTGACGTTAAAACATACAGGAATAAAAGAACTCCTATTTGGACAGCTTCTAATGAAATGAGTGTAGAAGGATTATATTTAATCTGTTAGAGTTAATTGGGGCAAGGATGGCCACATGGATCTGTTTGGATGTCAGGGTACCTTTACGATGACGTGATATGAAATAACGATAGATGAGAGTTTTGTATAGGAAATATATCGTTCCAACCTACAGGGTACAGTAGGAGTTGAAGTAAAAACTGTCAGCAAATCTCAGTTCTAGATGTAGTTCTTTGAGCAGAGTGTGGGAAAACAGCCATTTCCAGTAGAGTCTCTTACGAGTCCTGGCTACCTCATTGGCCTTTTGGACAACTGGCAAGTTGGCGGGACTCTGCTTTTAAAAAAATATGTATGGTGATGGGGGTGATTTTGATCCCTGGCACTACCAAAAAAAATGTGATTTGTAGAAATCATACTATTGAAAACTAGTAGTAAGAGTCATCTGGGTTTCAGAAGGGCCCCACTGTCAGCTACTTGTGATCTTTTATATCATCCAACTTTTTTTTTTTTTTTTTT